TTGCTATGAAAACGTTTGTTTCGGGCGCTTTTTGTTATTGATAAATCGAGTTGTGGGACTGTGAAATCGTCGGTGAGAGAAAACGTAGGTGGTAATATGGTATTCTATTCAGTAACAATCGGTGTTGAAATCGCTGCTTTTTTCCCAATATTATCGGATAGAAGTCAAGCCGAGTCTGATATCAATTTGAAATGCGTGAGCGCGTGCGTGTGTGTGTATCTTCTCTGGAAAATCATACTTAGTAACAAGTTTGCGGACTTTTCATTTTCGTGGTGTGCTATCGTCAACTTGTACAGCTTTCTTCTCTTTTCTTTGTGCTTTCGACATTTCACAATTTTGTTTTCCATGCTTTGGTTGTGAAATTTTCCGTCGGTTTGTCGCCGATGTGCCCGGAAAGTAATGTCCAATGCAATGAATGGAAACGGGAAATCAAATATCCATTTCAATTCATATGAATTGCGACAATTTGCATAACACGAGCCACACGCGCATATCATATCATACATCATGGATCTTTTTTAGATCTGACGGCGTGTGTTTTTGTGTTGCACGCTCATTTGCACGCGAGCAAAATGAATATCTCATATCTCGAAAATGAATGGGCGGCTCGTGTATTTTGTTGATTTTCTATAAATATGGGCGTCAGTTATTAAAATAGCGGAAAATCCCAAAACATCATAATCATTTGGGTATGAAAAAAAAGGAACCCACCGAACAATTCAAATGCATTGAAGGAAAATATGAAAGGTGATAGTAACCAACAAACGAAATCTACTTCATGGAAAATGAACGCCACATCATTAAACAGTACATTTCGATTTCATCAACGTTTCCAATGTACGGCGCTGCCATAGTAATGTAGATAGATGGACTTTTTCAACGGAATGAAACAAAAACCGATAAATATATATGGAAACGTGTGCACACGAACCGAGAACTGCCATAAAACAACAGTTACGAAATCATACGAGGTCCGAATATGATTTTGGCCCATGTCGTCCATATCGGCCAAAGAAAAATCGAACAACACTTGTTTGCTTTTCGCAAAATAAATGATCCAAACGTGATGCTCTTGCTTTCACTGCATCATCCACATTTATGAGTTCGCCAATTTGCGAGGAAATGGCATTGAAGCGATTTCTGGAATGCAAATCGAATATATGTGTATACCAGAAGGAGGGAGAAAAATTATTCTATATATACAAGTTCCGTCGATTTGTTTCCGTTCCGGATTAGTCTGCCGTGCGTGCGTGTTCTTTGCTCTCCCTATCACCGACAGCTTAGTAACTTTTGATTAGAAGCATTCAGTCAAACCAGATAAGCCATAAGCTTTCAGCAAAAGATCAACGTGCATCAATGGATATATGATTCATCGAGAGGAAAACACAGCACGCGAGATATAAACTCTTATTCTAATCGCCCGGAAGCGTATGAAAAATCGAAATCGTGAGATCATGAAATAAACCCAATCAATAAAATCCAACGAAATCGGATTATATATTATAACTATCTCATCAATTTGCTACGCACAGCCAGTTTGATTCCAAATGTTTGACTTTTTTTTCTCATTCTCTCTTTGCTCTTCACTCTCTTCAATCCCATTTCCAAGCAATGTAAAATGGATTTTTGGCTTTGTAATATTGGTATATATTCGCGGTCAAGGCTAATCGATTGGGTTGGAAAATTTGCATTCTTCCCAACCTGTATATTTTCGTACAGTTTTTTTTTATATTCAACCAATAGTTGGTTACAAAAGCTGAAATGAAGGGGAAAAAAAGTTTGAAGGAATTATTCATGGAGTCGCAAATAAATGAAGGAAAGACAAATACAAAACTTTTCCTTCAATTTGATTCTCTATTCAATCACTTAAGCGGCAATCACGTAGCGAAACTATTGTGATTGTCAACTTTCACCAATCTTACCAAGTGAAAGAATTTTACGCATTAACATCATCAACATTAATTGCCAATTCTGAAACATTGATTCCTATTAAACATATTCTAAGCAATTGATTCCGAAACAAAAGAATCAAATGTCAAATCACAGGATATACATATATATTGTGTGACGTCTTTTTTTTCTGCGTTCGTTGAAAGCTTATATTACAATTTCATGGTAATCACGACACATGAGACATGTTTCCAATTTCTTGCGAATCCAAACGATTTGATTCGACGAAAATTGAATTTATTGAAACTATCCATTTGATTGGTGAACATTTGGTTTTTTTATTTTTCGTTTGTTTTCGAGCGAATTATTTTATACGCAGCAAAAGCTCATTGGATTGTCAATTTGTGAATGACATTTTATTAATAAAAGAGGAACGAAATGTTGAAATTCGGCCGAGATTGACTTGTGGCAATTTTGCTTGGTTGCTATGAAATAAAAATCCATGCCACATCCATTCAGGAGAATACATAAAAATTCATGAACACTGCTGCAAAATTTAATAAAAACAAACAACATGTCAAGGAGAACAGTCATTATTCAAATATGAAATGAAGCAAAACGAAAGAGAAAAAAAAAACTCTTGACGCGAATCAAATGCTCGTAAGCCAGCCAGCCAGTCAACCCAGACGAAGAAACCCTTTTGGTATTTTTGTCGCTTTGTATGACACATCGATTTATTTACAGAAATTTATTTTATTCCACTGTCTGTCATTTCAATATTCGTTGTTGTTGTTGTTGTTGTTGTTGCTGCTGGCGTTTTTCTTCTTCTGTTAGCATGTTCAATTAATTCCTAAATGAAAGCAATGATATCGACAATTAAGCCTGCTTACATATTCATGCTTCAAAAATTTACACATTCCATTTGAACAATTTGTACATTTTAATATTCTTGCTTGTGCATTTGTTCCGAATCGTTCAAAGAATACGGAAATAGGCGCACATATACACACAAACGCACCCAGTGCAGAGGTTTTGATGGTAAATACATTGAATTTATCGTGGCAAATTAAGCAGCAATGAATTAAAAACTAGCTTTTGCCCTTTGCTTGTATTAGTAGTGAATTATTAATAGACATATCACTGGTCCTATCGTTTAATTGATTATTTAAGTTGAAAGTGTTCGTGTGTGTGTTGTCGTTTTGGACACAGCGAATGAAATGCGGAACAAACGGGAGTAAAATGATGGTCATCAAGAAGTTATTTGGGTGAAAGAAAAACAAATTGATCATTTTCAGGCAATTTGATATGCTCCACTGATTCTATGCCACTTTTACCATTTCACTTCTGGATTATAAATTTTTCCCCCCAACACTTTGACGTGCTTCGTCGTTTGCGCTGTTTGGCTTGGTAGCAAGAAATTGTAACGGTTGATAATACACTGAGCCGAAAGTGCTGTAGAACGGAACGTGAACGACACTTTTATCCGACACAGTTTATTCCGAAAGAAAAAGAATATTGTTTTTTTTGGTTTCTTTCCATCTCCCTCTCTCTAATTCTACACGCTTTCGCTCGGATTTTCTTTAATTAATCGCAAGATGTGTAAATTAAGCACATATGCATAACAAGCTTATTTACGCCCGCACTTTGCATGCAAATCACAAAATCAACAGAATCACTGCAACCGAACAAGGTCAAATATAGAACGAACACACGATATACAGGAACCATTTGTTTGCGCTCATCCACTTGAGGCATCTTCAGCGCCTGAGATGACGAGATATGCCATTGAAAACTTTCGACGATTTGCCAAACATAACGTTTTGCATATGAAACCATGTGATATTATATGTTTTTTTTTCTGTTGGGAATAAAAAAAATTACCGGAACGAAGCAGGAATATGAATCGTGTCAATTTTGAAAACCTGGGTACTCAAAGTAACACGCTCTGTGCATGTACATATATATATATATATATATATGAGCGGCAAGGGAAACGCACGCGTACACACGCATACATACACATTTTTCACATCCAAGTGCCAATGTTCGCACACTCGACAGCCTCTCTCATTCATTTAATGGACGTATTCTTTTTCATGTTATTTATTATAACCGTACATATTTCAAACAAACGATTAAAATTCCATGCAGATACGGCAGTATATGAGTTTTTGGGTGGAAAAAATTGGCGTGCGTACGATGGAGGTGGTGATGATGGTTGTGGCTCTATTTCGCCGTTATTCGAGCGGATACGATCACTTATTTTTCGCTGCAGAACAGCATAAATATTTATATATATATATATTTTATTGGCAGTCAAAGTGAAATGATTCATTTTGATGAATGTAATTCGACACTTGAAAATGATAAAAGATGAAAATCCCATCAATTTTATATGTGAACGAACGAAATGACGTCAGAGCAAAAGTAGACACAATATAATGTCAATGAAATACATTTTTGGGTAATGATAAATGAGCCAGAGAGGCAAATCGGCACACTTACTTTCGTTGATATTAGCACCTGTTTGCGCTGCTCAATCACCCTGAACAAATTTTCTTTGGCGATACTTTGTGTTCCGTGTTAGTGCATGCGTATGACCACTTCAATATAAGCTGTCATTATCGAATGAAAATGGATTTATTTGTATTGTGTTCATCGGTTACAATGGCGAATCGTAAATGAAGTCGAATGGAACAATGCGTTTTATTGTTATAGATTATTCGGATTTGGTAGCTGTAACATAAACATTATTGATATTGATCGTTGAATAATCAAAGTAACAGCGCGACTGATATACCAAGAACATTGAGGAATGAGGGTGTAGAATGAAAATGGAACGTGCCACACTATAACACAAAATAGATCCAAAATGCAAACATATACCTACAAATTCTTACTATACAAAGTTAGTCTCTCACCATCGCACCACTATTATCTCAAACCGTGCATCAAACGGTTCATCTACAATTTATACACTTTTAATCACACGCTGCTCAGATGTCTCGTAATCACATTATTTGATTTTGTTGTGATCACACATGCATACACATGTACCCATAGAGTATGTGAACTCTGTTTTTAATCGAATGCTTTTTCTCTTTTATCAGACTGACGGCAATGGAGGACCTGACGAGGTACAGTTGGATGCTGAAATGGAAAAAGTCTTTGCCGGACCGGGTAATCGAGCTGGAGCTGGAGCCGGAGACCAGCGACCGGAGAAATTCAATGTGGCACAGCTCATCGGCGATGCTGAGGCTAAAGACCGCGATGCACAACGATTCAAGGATTATGACAGTGATTGTAAGTGCTTTTTCTTGTTTTCGTCGATGGTTTTTTTTTTCTTCTTCGCCCGTTTTGGGTGATTTCTTTTTTGTATATATATCCGTTTGGCGATTGTCTTGTTTCAATGATGACAAAATTACACGCAATTTTGTATGAACGAACAACGAAATGGATGAACTCGAGCAAGAACCCATTTCAAATCAATTCTCAGCACCGTCTCATTTTCATATTTCTCGATTCAATGGAGCCCGTCAAGAATGCGTCTAGTCTAATAACACTTTCCAACAGCGAAAAAAATATGTGTGTATGGAACGTACTCGACCCAATGATTTGGAGACTTTTTGATAAGTGAGACTGACTGGATCGTCTCTCAAATCATATTTACAAAATTAAAAGGATATATTCCATTGATGCATTACGATTTTGGCGAATCTGATTTGTTTACATGGCTTATAGAAAATCGGTCGGATGACTTTTGATTTTTGAATTATGCGTTGCATTCGATAATGCGCTATTTGACTTCTCTGCAAATGACAGCGATGACATTTAGTGTGTTTTTTCTCCCTTTTAACGAACGTATATTGTTATTACAACTGAATGTGACAAGATATCGTCGCTCTTAAAAGATGGTACTTCATATTTGCAACTCATCTCTATGTATCTGATATCCATTTTCAGCTCATCGCAGTCAATCGTTTCCACACACTGCACGCAAACCACTTCTCAGCTCAATGAAACGAAAAGATTCGAAAGAATCGTCCACGACATCACAGTCATTTGATACAACCAGTCCGGCATCAACGGTGACGGGCACACCCGTAACATCACCGCAGAAGAGTTTATCGATTCGAGAGGAGAGCAATGAAGAAGCAATGCTATCGGAACGAGCTGGTCACACTGAACCACATTCGGATTCGAGTGACACCGAAGAGCGTCGTGTACAATTCAATCGAGCCAAATTTCAACTCGGTAGCGCCGGCGAAAATATCATCGAAGAAATGGAAATCGCTGACGATGGCACCGATGAAAAAGAGAAGAAAAAACACAAAGGGTAAATACTAGCTGATGTATACGGTTTTTTTTCTGTTTGTTCTTCTATTACTCAGTCTAAAAATTGATCTTGACATTAATTGGGTTCATAAGGAGCATATGAGTTTTTCTTTGGAATTGAAAGAGAATAAAACAAAACGAAACGAAGCGAAGCGAACATTTTTGGATGACAACGGAAAATAATTGGGAAAGTTTTGTGAAAATCTGAGTGGAAAAAAGAGACAACACACAAAAAATGACGTACGTAGAGATATGATGCGAAATGATATGTGCAACGAGTATTTGTTCGCTATTTCGTCCTGTGGCGAATGCAGTTGACGTATGCCATTTGTTCATCATCCCAGTCGAATCCAGCGAACTCTCGCCTGTTGATAATTGTGCATGTGCTTGCATTCTCGAGCGAGCGAGCGAGCGAACGCGAATTGCCCTCGTAAGCGAATATCGTAGTAGTATTGTAGTTTGTACAACAGTCACAAGCTGCCACTTGTTATCGATTTTCGTTGGGAAAGTGCGTCATTCGTTACTACGTTCACCTAGAAATGGGAGCGATTCGGTCATATGCATAATCCTCCATACCACAATAACACAGTGCTCCGCACATTCTTTTTTTTCTTTCCCAGTAGCTTACATTGATGCGACGATGATGATGATGATGATGATGATAATGATGAACACAACAAAATATTCCCACCAACAAAATCAAGGACTGAACAAACTGGCAAAGAATTTCTTTCATATTCTTTTTCCCTCTCGCCTCTCCTTTTTCTACACTAGCTCACTCGCTCGCCCCATTCTTGCACGTTATGCATTCCGTTTCATTGTCTTTATTAATATTAAAGTGATGAACTTGAGTTCGGAAAATGCTTCGAAATTGATAGCGATGTTTTTGTTTTGCCACTCAATGATTTTTGTTTGGATAAAGCTCATTGTATAGCCGCCTTATATCAAGGTCGTCCCATTATCCCATATAATACACTGATAAAAAACAAACTCACCAAATACGTCCGTACCGCTGAAGAAGGAAAAAATCACATTAAATTGCTACTACATTTTCTGTGCATCCTTTTCGCTTTTGTTTTGTTTTATCCAGCAACTTCATTTCCTTTCCCACACCCACACTGGAGCTGGGATGAAGAATGCTTATTGTTGGAAGTGGATTCGATAAATTTTCGCTCGAAAACATGGAAATCATTTACAATTTGCTCAAATTGTTGTTGAACAAGCGAATATTTAAATAAAGGCCATTTCACATGTTGGATAAGTACAATTTTAATTTTAATTCCTCAGTCGTCACCAGCACTACAAACGGCGTAAATCATCGATGTCCGATCACCATCATCACCATCATCGTCGTCCGACAAATGAATTTAGCCCAGACGGCCGGATATCGGTGCAACCCGAAGACGTTCTACTTAAGGTAGGTCAATTTATTCATTTTGGTCATTTATCGATTAGCCAGACCATCGGAACGAATTCCATTGGGGAAAACTTACGCGAACGGTGTTTTACCTTTGGAAAGGTAACATAATCCACGGAAGTTCATAGCAGTCGTCTCGCGAACATTTTTACTGAGAGTCACACATGGCATTCCACCTCACCATTAAGTTTAGGGCGCATATTTTACACAACCAATTTTTGAAAATATCTGGGCAACGATTGATTGCACGTGGTCGCACTTGTCAAAGAGTCAAAAATTGAACTATTTTTATCTTATTTTTCAACACATTTTCTTTACTCACATTCAATTTTATTCTTATTTATACCATCTTTTATTTATATGCCAAACGACGTTTCAATAGAACCATTCTTTTTATAGCATAAAACATCTCTCTCACTTGATACACAAAAACATTGTTCTCGTCAATGGCGGTCACGATCGGAAGGGAAAAGTGCCATCTGAATATGTTTGTGCGTGTGTCTGCCCTCTCTTCACTCACACCCCTTTCGGTGGCGCACATCGCTTTTGAAACAATTGGAATGACATCGAACCAAAATGCTTTTTAACAGCGAAGTTTTCGACTTTCTCTCGAGCAACCAAAATTAATAATTACATCAATCTATTTCGAGTATTATTCAGAGATGACTTCCAATGGTATGCCATTGCATAATATATGTGATGTGACGAGAGAGAGAGAGAGAGAGAGAGAAAAAGTGGGATTTCCCAAAGAGTTTCGATCATTTATTCGATTTCAATTGAGTTTTCGGCGAAAAAGCGCTTGAATGGAAAAGGTTCTGCAAAAAAAGCAATAACAAAGCTCTTCTTTGTACGATGTTTTATTGTATTTCTTTTTTGTTGCTATTTTGGGTACCTTTGTATTTGTATCGTTACTGTCCCCACCACCACTGTTCAGTGTATGTTTCTCGACTATTACGATTCATAACTTTCTGGCGGCGAAGTAGCGTTTGGCGATTTTTCTACTGCGAATTTGACTAAAAGCAATGTCAAATGCAATGAATGCCTGGAACTCACCGCTTACAAATTGATTTAAGAAAAGAAAAGAGGAAATAGGAAAAAATAAGTAATCACTTACCATTGCTTAGCAACAACAATTGAAAGAATCTGTCTTTTGCTGAACATTCCAGGAATCTCACATGGATGACTTGATTTCACATCGTTCGGATGATCCACGAGCGTTGCGCCGACATCGAATCCAGCCTAGTGAAAAATTGCAGCGAACGCAACCACTAATATCGCCAAAAAAGCAATTCGATCATAGTCCACATGAGATATTTGTGCAGCTCGATGAGTTGCAAGGCATGGATGAATGGAAGGAAACGGCCCGTTGGATCAAGTATGAAGAAGACGTTGAAGAAGGTGCCGATCGATGGGGTCGGCCACACGTCGCCCCATTGTCGTTCCACAGCTTGCTGAATTTACGTTTGTTCCTCGAACAGGGGGTCGTTTTGCTCGATTTGGAGGAGCGTGACTTTCCGGGTGTTGCATACAAAGTCATTGAAATGGTAACGCTATTCGAATTTCGAATTGATTGGATGTGTGGAATGATTTATGTGTTTCGATTGTTTTTTTTTTTTCCTTCAATTCACAGATGGATAGCAAAGAGCTTATTCATCACGATGACAAACCGAAGTTGTTGCGAGCACTTTTGTTGCGACATCGTCACGTTAACGAGAATGCTAGTGGCTTTCCATTTGGCGCCCGACGAAAGTTCAGCAGCTACACAAGTTTACAGGTAATTTGATCGATGATTCCAAAACTTCAATCGAAATCGTCAAAAATTCATCAACATTTCCATTTGCATACAACACACACACACACACACACACACACACACACACATAATTCATTCCTACAAATTTGAAATTAAATATTCAACGAATACCATGTTCATTAATCAATGTGTGAATTTTAGTGTTTTTATTCGTTTTTTTTTCTTCACCCAAATGACGCCAATCGAAAAATCGATTCGATAAAAATTATATTTATCCATCTTTCGGAGCCATTTCATTGTAAAAACAAAAACGGATATATAATTTTTTTCAGAATAAGTGTAGAACTAGCAAAATAATGGCATTTAATGTTTTAAATCAAACCAATTATTTTAGAGTTTATCTCAGCAAACGGATCATCTGATCTTCTATTCGGTAATTTTGAGTATTTTGTTATAATTGGACCTTTTTTTCACTTGTGTTTTTCCGTCTATTTGTAAGAATCACTTGATGTGTGGGTGTAGATTGAGTGCAGCGCAAGCACATTTTTGTAGACAGTAGAGAGAGAGAGAGAGACAGACATACAGAGAAAAATAAATGGCATGGAAACTGTTTTTTTTTTCTTGATTTTTAATTAAATCGGATTTTTTTGTTCTTTGATTGAAAGCTTGAGAGTTTCGACTAATGATTTTAAGTTGAAAATTTGATTTAACATCCTTGAGGCAAATACTGAATTGTGCAATTCTGACGCCCTCTTAAATAACCAACACTCGCTTTTTTCCTTTAATCTCACTTTTTTTGGTTTTTTTTTTTTTTTAAAAGTATTTGCTCGGAGCGTGTTAATATCTGTAAATGTTTTTCTCCTATTGTGTCTATGTAAAGCACACCGTTTTTCTCACATTGTGTTCGATGTCGTAAAGTGATCACACACAGTTTTTTCACCGTTCATTCGTTCGTTTGTGTGTATTCGTTCATTCTCTCCCTTTGCATCATCGGCGCTTATTTTTAGAGAGGAAGAAGAAAATAGATAGAGAGAGAGAGAACAGAGAAGAAAAAAAGCGTATTTTACTGGTTCGACAAGAATTCATGCTTTTTCAAGGAGAAAATGCGCAAAACATGTTTTAAAAATAAACTGGCAATAAGCAGTGCGATTCAATTAGATAAAATGTATGAAATTAGAGCTGTTATTTATTTAGCGCTTTGAAACCACTTTAAGCGATAGTTAATACACATATACATCAGCGTCTGTAACGTGTGTCTAGCGTTTGCAATAAGTCATCAATCATCATTCTTCATCTGCGATGCATATCATGTTCATTTTACCATAATTAAATCGTCAGTCTGTGAAAATTAAATTTTGTGGATTTGGATTTTTCTTCTATTCTTCTTTGTACTTTTCTATTGAAACGAAATCCCTTCCCCGACCCCATACATGCACATTCACAATTCCAACAACCTGCTATGCGTGAACATTCACGCGGCATCATTGCGTTTTTATTTCTGCAAACGAAATTCGGAATTGAAACACCAAACCAATAAATGAATTTATGTACACATAGCATTTGTGGGACGATGAGATACGTAATAAAGCAAACGGCGGTTTGAATACTTACGGTAGCACAATTTTTAATCATATTCACAACAACAATATTCATGGAATCAACGGACTTGGTGATGGCGCTTGTATCAATAACAATCATAACAATCACATGAATCAATGCAATGGATCCGATAAATTGCCACCCGACCTGTTTGCCATTTCGTTTAGCGAACGAATGCGACGCCATTCGACAATGTCGCATAAAATTGTAATAACCAAAATCATAATAAAAAAAAAACAACAACATTTTCTCAACGAAAAATTCATCAGAAGTATGGAATTGTGAAGCTCAGAACATAATTAAGTCAAATCAAAACCAAACCATGTATACCGTATACATTTTTCCAATGGAATAATGTCACAGAGGTTAAAGTCTGTGTTAACAAATCGAAATTAAATTCCATCGGTATATATGTTGAAAGAGTACTTTTCCGTGCTTCTCATTGATTTTTCGATGAATTTACTCGAATCAAATGGAAATTTTTCCCATTTTTCGATGCATTATTTGAATGCTTCATTTTTGTTTCGAACTTTCATCCTTTTTTTACTTGTGAAAAAACCACAACATTGATTTTGAACTGTTTTTCCCTTTCATTGTAATTTATTTTCCGTTTTGTTGTGTTTACTGTCAATCTTTGTTGCACCTTTGTATTTTTGATTGGTTTTGTTGTGTTCAATCAAACCAAATAAATTGCTGTCTCTTCGAAACGAATCAACAACGAAAAGCCTTGATTGTGTCTCTATGAATAGAATGTGCTTTTTGCACTGACGCATGAGACTAGCGATATTCTATGGAATTGGCGAATGGAAATTGTGTTGATTTTACCTTCAATAGATCAAAATGGTATCCATCACATAAGTACCAATTATTCATCGAAACATTTTGAATTGAGATAAAATGAGCAAACATCCTTTCTCTCAACGTACACTCTCGACGCATTTGTTGTAAATTGTAGTGTACTCGAAGAAAATCTCGTATTCAATTCAACCGAATTCATCGCAGCAGATGCTTTCGACTCGCTTAGCCCGAACAATATTCATCAAAGGCGATTTGTTTTTTTAAATTGAATTGTTGTCTGGAGCATAAAAAAAACACGAACAAAATAAACCTGTTATTCCATGAACACAGCCAATAAATGCAATAGATAGCATGCGAAGGTGGAAAGCCAATTTTTTTTTCCATTTCCAAGAAGAGATTTCTTTCGAACAAAAAGGAAAATCATTTTTTTTCCATGTGCGTGGAACTTGGATGTGGGCGAAAAAAAAGTGAAGATTTATAGTTTTATATTTAGCCATACGCCACCCGACACATTGGCTGCAGAGAGAGAGAGAGAGAGAGAGAGAGAGAGAGAGAGAGCGACTTTATTTAAAGTTAAACCAGACAATACAATTTTATTTTTGCTGACATCGGTGTCGCTTCCATCATTCAGGACATCATTTTAGCACATGAATTGTTCCTCTCGCCATATTCGTACCATCGCCATTTTTCTGCCATACACCAGTGTGCTCGTTGACAACACATGCCCCCAATACACACACATACATATACGAAAACTGAATAAAATTCAAATTATCATATTCATGATTCAATCCAATGAAAGGAAATTGTTCATTTCTTTTGTACTTGCATCCAATTTCTTGGCCGCTATACTCGCTCATAGCTTAAATTGTTCTCCCCAGTGAATGTGGCTCTTCCTTTTTCTTTGCATACTCGTACAGAACGGCCACGAAATCGAACTGAAATAAAACAAAGGGAACTAGGTTATTGCTCATAGGCTAAGTTCGTCTATTTCCTGTGTCTCGGCATGCATTTGTATCATTTTTCTCCCCGAAGCACACCGAACATCCAACAACAACAATTTAATAATGTATATATCACAAACTGCAATGTTTTTCTGCACTGATTACGGTGTTCCGCCACACGACGATCGTCGTCGTCGTCGTTGAAAATAAGCAAAATATCGCCTGAGACCTACATTGTTCTTTTCCACCATTATTGAATATATATATATATATATATATGTGTGTGTTCTTGTTGCAAAGTTTATCAGAGCACGCGATGTGCCACCGAAGAACGACCCCATACACAATTCGCATAAATTTATTCGACTGTTTGTCACTGTGTGCTGCGTTCCACCGACCATAAACTGATTCAATATAGCAATCAATAACCTTTTGTGGTATCACATGACGATGGCTTTTCTTTCGGTCACAGTCAATATTTTTTTGGCTTTTTTTTCTGTCTTATTTTCTCTTATTTTGAAGAGACTTTTTTTACCGCTTATTTATTTGTCGCTTTTATTCTACCGTTTATACATTTTTGGTGGTCATTTGTACCGCACTTTAGATTGTTTTGTTTTCCTTTTCTCCTAACTGTACCCAAGAAACAATTGTTAACGCAAATACATCCATTACCAAGCGTATGCAAACGGTCGAATTAAGGCCCGCATTTGTGTGTAGTTTCAGTCATTTTTAACGTCACAATGGAAGTAGAAAAAAACGGTAAAAACAAATCAATTAGAAGGATATAAAAACGATTATGAATCAATTGATAACAAAATAACAAATCACGTGTGAAACAAGGTCATAAATAGACCCACCTCGAGTATCATCCAACTGTACGCTTCACTTGAACTAGGTCCATTTATGACTTTGGTAAATATTGGTGTGGATATTGAAATTGACCAACTGACTGAGAAAATCTTACAACAACTTACCTACGGGCTTAAGCCGTATTACATCGTGTATTTGCACACACATTTTAATGTACAAAGCCACAAAAATCAAGCTTTGATAATAACTAATCGTTAATGTTTTATTTTATTCTCTTGATCTACGCTCTACTTTTCATCGACAGCATTTGATTGGCCGACTCGATTGGTCATCTCGACATTTTGGCCATATCCTTTCTGGTGGTAACACAAATGATTCGTGCACATTCAAGTCGAAAACCATACAACGGCCTAGAATGAACGAATTGAACTCGAAATTGAAATACAATAAAACATGAATGTGATTGTATTGTGTAGATCACATACCTCTGTACAAGATGCACTTCGCCGCACAGATGTCACGATGCCAAGTAGCAGTAAAAGCGTTCTGATCATTCATTGGGCTTGAGTGCCAGTTTTTCTGGAAGGCTATTTTCTTTGACCCCAATAACCCAATTCCTTTATCAGTTGCATCGTAATGTATTCGCTGCCATAATTGTGGTTTGGCCTTACGATTTTTGACACGAATCTTGCAAATACTTGTGTCACCAATTTTCACAAAACCTGGCAAATCGGATTCCGCTTCCGGCTGTTTGGATACTTTACGGCTGCGATGGCCTGCAACTCGACGTCGTTGACGTAGTTCACGCCGTCGTATGCGTCGATTGTACCGTCTCACTGCCTCTTCGGTATCCAATTGCTCTGGATTGTGGCTTTCGCGCTCACTTCGACGCTTTTCCCGGTGCTTCTCAGCTTTTTCGGCTCTAGTTACATTTGCTGTTGGCTTTTGGCTGGCATTTTGTTTTCGATCACGTTGCTTGCGCCGTCTGCTTCGATCAGTCACAATAACCGGTGGGAGTCTCACATCCTTGTGTGGGCGACAATCTTTGCACACTTTGAATCGGTCACTTTTTGTGCTTCTCGGAAATCGCCGCAAGCAATTGGCACAGGTTTGTGATGTATACGGCTCTGGTGTAAGCACAACATCCGTTTTGCCGTTCTTTTTTAGGCTAACTATGAACTTTCGCTGATCTGGTGATCGTTTTGTTCTTTTCACACCGATTTTCGAATTTGATGGGAACGCCGCATCACCAAGGAATACAACTCCTGTCTCATTGTTTGTTATGTGTTTAGCCATCAAATCCATTTCGCGATTAGACTCGATGTACTTGTGCAACGATAGCTGTGCGTACTTTCTTCTGGCGTATGTAGCCAATGAATCTGTCAGCATTTTGATTTTGTGCTTAATGAATGATTTCCATTGTGATCCTCGCGGCGATACGGATGTGATCGGATAGCTTTTCAAGTCGCGCTGTTCTTTGTGCACGTACTTTCTGGTCATTTTCGTGGCCTGTTTGTCGCGCATTCCTTGTCGCGCACCCCAGTGATATTGAATACTCGATAATTTGATGTTGGTCTGTGAAATGAACAACAACAATGCAAATCTATGTTAATTTTCATATGATATTTCAACTTACTTCAATTCCAGTAGCGAGAGTCCGACGCACGCAGGCCATTTTTGTTTTCTGGCCGGGATCAATTCCTGACTCATACTTGTAACCGCCTTTGCTGACTGGCTTTTCGTACTTTGCTTTGATTTCAGACAGAGTCACGCCGGCTCCTTTGCGTTTGGGTCTGCTAAACAACACCGACACGGCACTACTGTTGGTTTGAATTTTGTGGTGAAACTCTTTCGAACCGGTTCTGAGCTGTCTGATTTTGTCCATATCGAACACAATTCCCCATGCCTCGTCTTTGTTCTCGCCTTGCTTGTAGTATGTACGATAATCAGCACGGATATCCCTTCCCCGTTCATTTCTCAACTGGCCAATGAAATCAATCAAATCTTTATGGTCGAATGGTATGTGCTTCAGTTTTGTATCACAGAGTGGAATAGCGGCGAAATTCTTCACTTTTGGTATCTTCGGTACCGACGGCTCTCGATTGTTCACTGGATCACGATCGTATGCTTTCCACTGTTCACGAAGGTGAGCCGTATCGATCAAAAATTTCTCGACAATTCGTTGCATGCCTATCCACATCCACAAAGACTCGAACCAGTCCTTTTGAATGTATTCGTACATTGTGAAGTATTTTACGAATGATGGGCCACAAAGCTGAGACACTTCCTTAAACAGTATTTCCATCTTCGACTTTCGACTTTCATCATCATCATAAGTCCAATCTTCATTATACATCAAATTTTTCATCGTATTTCGAATGTCAATGTCATCGAAAGGCAAGTATGATGCATCATAAATAACGCCAAGTGGGCTTCCTTTGTGATTGAATTCATGGCACTTTACACGTAGAAAGTGGGTCAATCTCACCCAACAGTGCGTCTCCAAATTTGTCTTCACATTGGCCACATACTGGTCCTTGAGAGCATAAACTTGGCGAGTCATTTGATGGCGGCGTGGCCATTCAAAGTTGGGGCTACCTTGGGTCACCATCGCGAGAAATTCGTCTGGCATTTGGGCTGTGAGTGGATCGTTGATGTTGTTCGATGTGACACAGTTGAAACAGTCTGTAATCAAATTTGCTCCGTTTTGATTCACGAAGAAGTCCAAATTGCCATCATCAAATGCTTCGTTAATTGTGTAGAGCATTAACATCGATGCAAGATGCATGACTTTCGTAGCATTCAAACATTTCTCGAAGAACTTATGGATCAGAAATTCTCTTTCTGTTTCTGTTAACTTCGGATTAATTATCGAATTAAATGCCAATTTGATCGCGCCGATTTCGATTGTGCCATTTTCTGTCGACTGTTTTTCTGGATCTTCTTTCCGATTGACACGTTTTTTCTTCACAATTGAGTGCTTTTTCATCTGGACTTTGTTCTCCCTTGGCTTACCAAACGTCTTATTGTGCCGCTTACGCCTCGCCATTGCGATGGATCTAAACGAGAGAAAATAAATTGTAGAACGAATGAAATGTTTGTTGCAAGCGATTAGCGATTGTGAAATTGGTTAACGCTACGGAAATCGAGAACAATGCACTGATTGATCGCTTTAAACGAATACGATAACAATGTGATGATATTCATCAGTCCGTCGCCAT